TTTCTTCTGTCTTTCAATTACATTTTCTAAATCAATTGGATTGTAATTGTCAAAATAAATTTGTTCTTTTTCATCATCTACATGTAGTTCATCCCTAATATATTTCTTTACTTCTGTAAATGTAGGGTCGTTATGGACGCTGGGTGAAAATATAAATATTCTTGCAAATGAATTTCTATAAACATTCAATATTAGATTTTGAATAAGGACAGTCTTACCGCCTGTCGAAGAAGCAACTATAATACTTCTAAATGATAATTTTGGCACGTGCTCATATTTGGATTGCTTGAATTCATATTCAGTTATGTTTATTGATTTTATTATTGGAACATCTGTCATATAGTTGATATTAAACATATTTAGAAAATAATTTAATATTATTTATTGTATGAAAGCATTGCTATGATATGAATGGTGACTATCGTAGTAGAACAGGCTCTTTCATCAACTTCAGTCAATAAGCATTGAAGCTAATTAGTTTGATGCGTTGCAAAGAAAACCCCAAGTGCTGTGCCCCACCAATATTCTATTATGCATGAAAATAGTAAGATTAAATAACTATTTTATCTTATTATTTATATGAATAGAAGTTATTCAAATTATATTAATATAATAGATGAACTAGAAAATATAGAACAAGTAATAATAACTGATAATAAAATTAAGAAATGTTGTTATTATCCAATAGAAATACTTAAGCTAGGAATACAATATATCAAAAATAAAAATGTAAATATTAATATAAATGGTGAAAAAGAAAAAGAAAACAAAAATAAGACAGGTTTAAGTGTTTCTTCAACAGATGAAGATAGCGGAGAAATTGTTAAAGAAACAGCAGTAATTGAGGTTGCTTGTCCTATGTGCAAAAAGATGTTAGAACTTAAAAATGAGTTAGAAATACAAAGGAAGGGAAATTGTAAATGTAGTTGTGTGCCAGTTGGTTTTAAAGTAAGTAAAAATGATAAGAAAATGAATATTGATAAAACTAAAGACAGTATCAACTTAGAAACTGATGTCCATAATATAACTTTTAAATTTGGTAGGCAAGCAACACCATCCGATAATAATGAAAACGAAACACAGGAAACTGTTAAACAAATGATGAAAAATATATAATTAAATAAATAAATATCTAAATAAATATATAGTAATGTCTGAAAATGAAAATTATACTATTAATGATTTAATGAAGAAGATAACATTAATTAGTAAAAATATCACAAACTTAAATGATATGATTAAATCCATTGATGGCAAAATGAAACCAGTTGAAAGCGAACAGCAGGAGAAGGAAAAAATCGAAAAGATATTTCAAGCAAAATCTATAGGAAGACCATTGGGCGATTATCCTACAAAACAAAAGAAATACTGTGATATGTTGAATACAGGAAAAATCAAACAACCTAAAAGCACCACTTTAGAATTTTACAAAATTTCAAAAAATGATGATGGAGTATACGTATTATTTGAATAATTAATATCTAAGTAATTCTAATAATATGAATTTAGTAGAATTATTTAGCGGAACAAAAAGCGTCGGAACCATAGCAAAGTCGCTTGGATTTAATGTAATATCATTAGACTTGAAAAATGCTGATATCAACACTGATATTTTGGAGTGGGATTACAAACAGTTTGACAGAAACCATTTTGATTTTATTTGGAGTAGTCCCCCATGCACTGAATACAGCGTAGCAAAAACTAGGGGAATTAGGAATATCGAATATGCAAATAGTATTGTCTTAAAAACTATTGAGATTATCAAATATTTCAATCCTAAATATTTTGTAATCGAAAATCCACAAACTGGATTATTAAAACATCAGGAGTTTATGGATGAGTTTGATTTTAAAGATGTAGATTACTGTAAATATGGAATGCCTTACAGAAAACGCACTAGGCTCTGGAATAACATTACAACTTGGAAACCTAGAGAATTATGTAAAAAGGATTGTGGCAACATCAGGAATAATAAACATATTGAAACCGCACAGAGACTGCCATCGGGCACCAAGGAAAATTGGGGAGACAATCCAACAATACATAAGCAGGAAGACCTATATAAAATACCTAGCGAATTAATTTGTGAAATCTTAGTGAGTTTGACGGATTAAGGATTTTGAGTTTGGGGTTGGGCTTGAAACTTGAAATTTCTAGGTTCATCCAACGACAACACAGTAAAAAATAAGAATTCAAAAAACATGAAAATATTAATTTTTAAGGGGATAATCCATAGTTTATCAAATTTAGAAAACACCAATATTCATATAGATACATCAGGAAACTCTCGCCAATTGCCAAACAGGGCAGGGAAAAATTGGCGAGAGTTTCCCCTTATATATTATATATATACCCCGCCCCAGAAAAAAAGCCCTCCCGGCCAAGTCCTTACCTAGTAGGGCTCGGTCTCGTAGGCGAAGAAGACGATGAAGATACCTGCGCAGGAAAAAACAAAACAAACACATAAAAGACAAGGAGAGGGAGGGACCCACCAGCAAACCCAAAACCCAAGCCAGCCCGCCCTGCCCCCCAGTCAAAAGGGGGGCGCACCCAAGCTTGTCGTGCTCGCTCATCAACCTAGCACGGCGTCGGGTGTCCCACAAAAAGCTTAAAACTGCTTGGTCAAAAATGCTGATGGTGCTAGGACAAAACGCCTTTTTCATCATCTGGGGCTGTGCAAACCTATTGCCGAAAGTGCCATTTTCACGGTTGAAATCACCGATTTTGGGGTGGACATCACCGATTTTGGGGTGGAAATCACCGATTTTGGGGTGGACATCACCGATTTTGGGGTGGACATCACAGATTTTGGGGTGGACATCACCGATTTTGCCCCCATCCCATAACCTCCGCCCCGCCTCTGGAATGTGGTAGAAGATGAAGACGTGGCAAGTGAGCGGCGCCGACGGTTGAAACCCCACACCATAAAGCCCAATAAAATCCTACAAGGGACACCACGCCTAAAAAAATATATGATAAAAGTGATGAAACGAAGGAGGGGAGTGATGTTGTTGCTGTTCTATTTTTTGTCCGGGAAATGGACAAATCGTTTTTAGACAGTTCGAATATTTTTTTGATGACAAATATTTTTTGCAATATATTTGCAAAATTTATTTTATTGAAATGGATGAGGTGAGGAGATTGAGGAAATGACATTTTGAAAGGTAGTTGGTGAAATGAATGAGGCGAGGAGAAAGGAGAAAAGGATGGCGAAAATTTTGGAAAAATGATGAGAAAAAAACGGATGAGATGGACAGAAAGGAAGGTAGAAAAATGATGAAAACGAATAAGGGTGGAAGATGGAAGATGAAAAAAAATGTAGGGGGGGTGTATGTATGAAAGCAATTTATTGCTAGGCAAAGCCCTCGACTACTGATTTTGGGGGCATGAAATAACGATATGAATGAGGTAACGAATGGGTGATTTGGTCCCCTGTTTCGTTCCAGATTTCAACTTTTAGTTTTATCAATTGAAAGAGGTTAGGACTTTCTGTGGTTTCATGGGTTGGCTTTTGGGCGGGCCTTTCGTGTTTGCACAGAGGGTAGCCGTCGTTTTAGCATAATTTTCTGGTCATCCTCCTTGGTGCGTCGACAATGCCTTCTTCGTTTCATGTCGCCGGGAAGCCCAGACAATGCCACTGGTCATCAGCATCCCGTTGAAGCGACTGCTGCTGCTAGCCGTGTGTAAAATCTCAAGCCTAGCCTCCAAGCATGCCTCCCTGCGCGCTCGAGGTGGTTCGCGATGAATTGAAGAGGCTGAAGGACGAGGGAGATATAAACAAACAGCCTTACAAGAGGCTGTGCAAGCAATTGGATGCCGTGGAGGAGCAGGCAAAGGAGGCAAAGGAGGCAAAGGAGGCAAAGGAGCAGGCAAAGGAGGCAAAGGAGCAGGCAAAGGAGGCAAAGGAGGCACAGAGGAAGCTGATAGAGGTGCTGGAGGAAGACAGGCAGCGCCTTTTGGTGCAACTCTCCAAGACCCAGTCAGTCTCTGTGTGCCGTCCAGTGCTGGAGCTCGGGTTGGAACGATACAAGCAACAAAAGCAGCTGCCTCCTCAGAAGTCACGGACGGCAACATGCCGCATCCTTGAAGAACAAGAAGTCTTTTGTCATGGCAGCAAACCGCTTCAAGCCTGGGCGAAGGCAGTTTGTGCAAAGGTGGAACAATACCTGTGCCACATCAACGCAGACTCGGAGGAGTTCTCCAACACCGTGTGGGACGTCTATCAGTCACTTTCCAAAGAACACCACGCCACCGGTGGTTTCACAAAAGGAGTGGGCTTCGTAATTCAAACGTCGTCTCCAATGCTGACTGGAGCAGTTGTCCTAGTGATGTGCGCCCTCCGTAAGCGAAAGTGCTTGACGGGCATCAAGATCAGAGCAGTTTCAAATGGACACGAAGTTGTCATTAATGCAAAGGGCAAAGTTGTTTTGCCCAAGTCTTAAATCGATGCTGCCTTGGACTCAATAGGAGAAGTGATGGTTGTCAAATTCTTCAGTGGACATATGTGCCACTGCTGCACGGACGACGGACGGATGCGGCAGAAGAAGGAACATGTTGCCATTGGCAAGGTGTGAGAATAGGGAGCATGGCATTCAGACCTTTCCCTGTCAGCAAGAACTGTTCCGTTTGCTACTGTCGCGATGCGCGTCTTGAGGTTCGTGCCCTGTGTCATGTCATGAGCCCGAAATGATCTCTTCAGAACCCCGAAATGACCATTTCAAGTATCTGAAATAATCATTTCAGAAAGGTGAAACGCAACCTAATTCAGCATGTTTTGAGTTCATTTCAAAGTCCTGAAATAACCATTTCGGATTCCTGAAATTAGTTTTTCCAACATGTATTTCAATCTGCTGAAATGACCACACTTTGACAGGAGCAATTTGAACGGTGGCATTTTTGAACCTGATCCTGACTGAAGGTTTGAGCTGAGAGTTTTTGTTGGTATTGGGTGTCTGATTGATTTTTGCTTTCTGTTGCTCCCCTATCTATGCCACGCTGAGGTTTTGAAGTCAAGACGCGGTTCACCTACATGACCTGTCGCCTTCACGGCTTCGACGTGCGGGATGGGCTAGGCTGGAAGGAATTTGAGGTCTTTGTTTATGTTATTGTTTGTTTTTGTTGAAGGGGAGGGTTCAAACAAGACACTTTGAAGGCGGTTTGAAGGGAGTAACTTTGCGGAGCTTGCCAGCAGAGCCTGACACTTGGTCATTGCATACCCCAACCCAGCCACCACATGTTCCCATCAAACCCACCACCCACACCAACCACAACAACCCCAACATCCACAGCAACTTCTAAAACCTAACCCTTTGACCCTCTGACACCCTAACACCCTAACCCCCTGACCCCTGCGTGAGTCCTGTTTGACTGAAGGCACCCTCCTCATTGTCTACAAGGCTTTGCGAGGGACAGGCAGGTTTTCAAACCTTTACCTAATTGTAATAATTAAGGGGCAACTCTCGCCGATTTTTTGTTTCAATGTTTTAGGGCAACCCCATTTTGAAGGCGTCTCTTCACACAAACCCTTAAATCTCAACAATCCATAATCAACTAAAACAAGGGTAAAACTCACCATTTCCCAACTTCCCCAAAAAGAAACAAACACATAAACTTCAGATAACTTCAGTATTGTTAGTTTCAACCCTCATCGCCAACGACCCCAATTGCACGTTCGAAGCCCAAACCCAAACCTCATAAACTCACAACACAAGAGACACGATAATATCACTCATTAAATTTGTAGGGACTTTATACAGTTCATCTTGTTTACGTTTAATGTATCCTTCACCCCAATCTGATTTTTTACCCGACGGTAGTCTCTGTGCTGTTTCAAGATGCTTCCCATTAACCACTTTACCACAATCCCCACAACATAAGGGCTTAGGTTTCCATGTTGTTATATTTGTCCATAGCCCAGTCCGTTTCCTGTAGTTAAGCCCGTATTTACAATATTCCACATCACAGTATCTTAGACCACTCATAAATGGTTGTTCCTTTAATAGTCCAGTTCGAGGATTTTCCACAACCCACCATGTAGGTTTAAAGTAGTCAATAATCTCAAGGGTTTTTAAAACAATACTATTAGCATAATCTATTTTCCTAACACCAACAGTTTTAGCCCTACTATATTCGGTGCAAGGTGGCGAACCCCATATCACATCAAACTCACCTACATCAAACTGTTTGTAGTCCCACCTCAAAATGTCAGTATTGATGTTGGCATTTTTCAAATCTAGTGAGATGACACTAAAACCCAAATCTCTGGCAACCCTACCAACCGAACCTGTTCCGCTAAATAGTTCTAATAATTTCATCAACTATTGGAACTACTTAGATGTTTTTATTTGAAAATATCATCAAACGATATGTCCTCTAACACCCCTTTGGAGGACGTATCGTTTCACCTAATGCTGTAGTGTCGCGAAGCTCACTAGAGAATTTCATCCTGAAATTCTGTAGTGTCCGTAAGGCAGAGAAGTAAAAGCATCAAAGTAAAACCTTTTATTTTCATAGTTACTGAGTGATTGCTTGACTTGAGACATTGAATATATTTGATGTGTTTTGCTCCTGATGAAGTTGTAGGAGATTTCGTGCTTTTTGTTGTGAGGCAGTGCTTCGTGGTAGTTCTGATAGGTCAATTCCTTTTTAACCTTGTGCTTGACGACACCTTTGGATTTCTTGTGTTCCTCATCCTCGCCGTGGATTGTGAAAGCATAGGATTTAGGTTTCAACCCGATGAATCTAGTAATGATTTTTCCAGTGACTTCATCTTTGTACATTCCTAAGACCTTCTTATTTGTTGTGTCATGACATGGATGTTCAACAGGATAATCACTAAAATCCATATGTTGCTTGATACCTTGAAAATCCTTGTAGATATCATCCGTGAAGGTTTGAATTACATAACTGTCAGTATCTGTATATATCAATTTGATATTTTCGTTATATTTCTTTTTCAACACACCATAGTAAAACTCATACATATGTAATTTACTTAAATCAAGAATGGTCATTCCTAAGAATATGGGTTTATCCAATTTCAGTTTAGCTTTAGTTTTCTCCACTCCTACCAGATGTTCATTAATGATAAATCTATTTTTGAATGTTGGATTATTCACACATTTTTCATACCTAACATCATTATCTACCAGTTCAAAATCCATATGTTTTCTTTTGTCTTCCATAGTTTTTCCATACACTGCGTTATTCATTAATTTAAACAAATCCTTCTCAAAGTCGCTCTTCGCTTCTTTCCTTTTGCCTGTGTTGAAGTCAATCCACGGTTTCAACCAAGCCCTCTGTTGAAATTTTATTATCCTATGAACCTTGGTGAGTTTCATACCCATTTTTAGATAATACTGTAAAGTCTTGATATGAACAACATATTTTTCTTTATCTTTCAAATTTAATATTAACTTGCTGGTTTTCTCATCCTTCGGTTCTTTGTTTCCATAGTAGATTTTGAAGATTTCCTTTTGATAGTCTGACAACATATTAGCATTGACATTCATTATTTCCGGTGCTAGTGGATAGTCCGAATGGTAGTCGTGTAGTGTTTCTGGATATTCCAAATCCACTTCAAGGATGAAACCGTACTCATCTTTTTCATCCCACTTTTCAATGTTAGGTGTTTTCTTTGTCCATTTGATGTTCTTTAAAGGCAATTTTTGAGACATTGCCAGACCATACAGATTGTTAGCATCTAAGTAATTGATATAACTTGACGGTTTACTTTCATCAAAGGCTTCATCCATATACTTATTGTTTGCCTCAGCCAGTTTATGACTGACCTGACACATGCCTCCTCTCATTCCCTGTTCAACCATCTCATACATTTCTTTATCGTGCAACTGCTCAATTTCAACACCAGTTTTCAACAACATAGCTTCCCAAGCGAAGTTAGGAAGTGTATAATAGTGTGCGGGGTCCAAACCGTAGTATTCCATACATAAGTCTCTAAAATTTTCAATCACATCAGTCAATAATAAAACATCGGTTCTCAAATACAAATCGTGATATTGTCCTAATGTTCTAATACCGAAGTGTTTCCAAACCTTTTGTGCCCTTTCATAATCTTTGACATTGACATGTTCCTCACTTAATTTACTGTAGAACGCTTCTTTTGGCGGTAAGTTTCTTTCAGTAAATCTGCCAAAACTATCAAAATAGTCATAAGGATAAATTCCCTTATCAATCAACAAGTCCAAATCTTCATCGGTTTTAACATATGGATTTCTAACACTGTATCTAAAATTGTTCTTCCAGTTCTCACGCCTTTTATCATCTTCATACTTACTCAACTTTACCAACTTATCTAACGAAGACGATAAGAAGCTAAAACTGTCCTTGAAACAAAGGTTTTTAAAACCAAAGGTTATGAACTTCTCGCTGTTCTGTGCGATGCAATCGATTTTAGCATTCTTGCTCAGTTCGTGTGCCTTATTGATGATTAAGTGAGCGTCATAGTTTTTAAGGTTATGAAGGAAGACTGGTATTTTATAATATCTCATACTAAATCGTAGATTGCATGCTTCGTGAGCACAACCTCTATATTTACCCGTAAAGTGGCAGTGGTCCCAACATTTCTTTTCATCCTCTTGAAAAGCATTACCACAAATGAAGCACTTAGTAGCATTGTTGAAGTCCTCCCAGTCCTTCTCAGTTTCAATTCGGTCTTTGACTTCCTTCATTTTCTTTATGACATCCTCTCTGACTTCATTCATTTTCTCAACGAACTTATCCATACAATCTTCGCCTCTGTATAAATAGGGCTCACTGCTTCCAGTGATGGCATTGACTACATTAATCATAAAACCACAAGGGCGATGATTTTGATATGATGTGGTTGTCGCTTTTATCGATTTGCTTTTAACATCAATGGGTACTGTTAGACATTCAAAGTCTGCATATATGACATAAGGCGCTTTCAGTTTCTTAAAATGGTTTTTAAAATCAATGGTGGCTCCTACTTTTGGCATCTTTATTCCTTGTCCTTCAACCGCTAGACAACCCTGTTCTTCGTGTTGTTTTAATAACTCTTCTGACTTGAAACCGTGTGAGCATGTCCTACAGTGATACTTTGGTCTGCCTGTTTTGTTGGTTTGGCTACCCATCAATTTGTTATAGTTCTTGATGTAGACATAGTGTGAGTTGCCATTTTCTCCAGTCAACTTTATTAAATCAATCTTTTGCTGTGCTTGGGAGTTGTTGCTTCTTTTGTATAATAAAATTGTTTTACTATTGGTATCAGGATTGATGTAATAAACATTGACCGATATGTGTTTGTTCTGTTCTTCAAATTGTTCAATCTCATCATTGCCTACAGGAAAGTTTATATTGTCCCATTTAATAAACTTGTCATCAACATACTTTTTATAATGATACATATCACAGGGATGGTCTTTTTTGTATATCTCATAAAAACCACATTGAACGGAATATTTGAAACACAACTCATCATTGTTTTTAATATTGATACAAGCTTTTTTGTTCGCCACCCAGTCGGGCAATGGAATATAAGAAGAGCCACGGGTAGGATTGTGTCTGTCATAACTTATCACCAGACTTTGAACTTGAAGAAGAACCAAACCCGATTGAGTTAATTCGGCTATCTCAATTTGAACCTCTATGTCGTGGGCTATGTTGTCCAAAACACTGTTTATCTCTTCAGGGTTATGGACATTGTATCTCCTGCTTCTCAGCCTTCGTCGTATCTCTTCGTTGTCAGTGTTCTTTAACGCCAAATCCACTTCAACAATGATTTTCATATTCGGGTTTCTGTTCAGGAATTCTACCATTCGTTGCTTCTGGTATTTTAAGTATGATAAGCCTTGCATTCCTTTCAATCTTATATCACTGACCGAATATGTGTTGGCGTAGCCTTTGAAGGCTTGCTGTTCATCTGTGATTTTGGATTTGAAACGCTTGACATAATCCTGTAAGGGTCTTCCTCGTGTGAGTTTGATGAAGCTAGCCCCTTTCATTAGAAGACTATGTTTTCTGTAACCATCGCTTCTCGCTACTTCCTTTAGTCTGGTATTCAACACCTTCGAAGCGGGTTTGTTCTTATTGT